CCAGAAGTTATTGATATGGGTTATATGCTGTCGTGATGGGTGCTACAGCTGCGTGTAACTCAGTGAGCAAAGTGCCTGTCACATTGTCTACATAGAGCATTTGGTTTAAACAAACACAGAAATAAATGTAAACTTTCAAATTGTTCTGTAAAGAAAAAGAACTGGGTACAATGAGCCAATATTTACCAGAATGATTTAGATAAGGGGCTACTGAATTCTTTCAGGAAGCAAGAGACAACAGATTGGATTCATCTAGGTGAAGAGAGGGAGTCCTGTGAGTTAATTTCTGGTGAATTTTACTTTGTAACATTTAGGTGTATGCTAAGTGAATGAATAATATAGACGGTAAAATATTTTAAACAATCCCTGTATCTGAAGTAGATATTGAGAGATTAAAATGGCAACTTTTTACTTATTTCAGAGTTTATTATCTAGTGTAGCAAGAGGTACAATAGGGTAGTTGCTTTTAATACAGTCACAACTAAAAAACGTGCTGCACTAGGTAGAAGTTGGCATTATTGTTTTAATTTGCTTTGGAAAATGACCTTTATTCAGTGTATGTACAACTTCATATAATTTCAGAGCTCCTTTCTACTGTTTCCAGAACGAATTGATCCGACCTGAGTGGTTTGTTCTTGTCAATAGTAAATGAGAAAATTTTAAAGAACTGTTTCTTCTTTTGTGTGAGTAAATAGTTTAAATTATTTCTGAAAGTAGATTTTATGACTCAATCTAATCCTATGTTCAGACACTTTTAATAAATTTTAGTGAGTAAAACTCAGCAGTTTAATACTTTCTTAATATTTATTTTAAAACCTAAAAAAAAAAAAAATCCTCACCCAAGGTTATGTTCATTGGTTTTTAGAGAGAGAGGAGGGGGAGCAGGACAGAGGTGGCGGGGGGGGTGGAGGTGGGGGAACATCGATCGATGTCCCGCCTCTTTATGCACTTCACTGGTTGATTCGCCCATGTGCCCTGGCTGGGGGCCGAACCAGCAGCCTTGGTGTTTGGGGGTGACGCTCTAACCACTGAGCTTCCTGGCCAGGGCAAGTCTAGACTTTCTTTTTCCTTCTTTGTCTGTTCCTTTTTATCCTCCCTTTTGCTAAAAGGTACCAGGTGAAGTGCTTGCATCTTGTCTCTACCATTCTTTTAAAATTAAAAGTATGTTTTGCTAAAAGGATACCACTCTACGTGGGAGGCTGGGAAAGGCAGGGCGGTAGCATGGGACCCTTGAGGGGCTAGGCTTAGAATCTAAGCAGCGTGGCCTGTTAGAAGGTAGCCGGTCAAAAGCAGCTAGTGCGTTCTGTACAGTTGGTGGTATTTTATTTTTTAAAAGACTTTATTTATTTATTTTTAGAGGGAGGGGGAGGGAGGGAGAAAGAGAGGTAAAGAAACACTGATGTGCTAGAGATAACGTCAATCAATTGCCTCTTGCAGGTCCCCAACTGGGGACCTGGCTGCAACCCAGGCCTGTGTCCTGACTGGGAGTTGAACTGGCCACCTTTCGGTTTGCAGGCCCACGCTCAGCCCACTGAGCCACACTAGCTGGGGCTAGTTAGTGGTACTTTAGCAGATTAATCGCAATTTGCAAACAAAGAATTTTCATGACACCTGAAAATTACCTTAATGGCTTACTTTGAATTGCTTTAGGCAGGTTCTAAGCTAATATTAACATGGAAATTATCTAAAAATAACTGTGAACTTCAGATTTCCACTCAGGGTAACAAAGAGACAACAGTGGGACTCGCAGTGTAGCCAGCCCTTTTGCCACCTGCCCAGCACAGAGTGTGTGTGGGGCACGCGTGCCACCCCCAGGCCTGTGCGCCGCTGGCGGGGCCGCCGACGGGAAAGGCAGCAGTGCCAGCAGCGTAGGGGGCGGGGGGCGGGTACCTGCCAGCGGGGCGGAGGAAGAGCACCGATAACGTGGCCCCATGACACTGCGTGTCTCTCGTCCCTACCCGCTTGGGGACCCGGCTGTGATAGATCCTTGAGTTTGGCAAATACTTGATAGAGAAATAATTCTTGGTAAAATCTTTGGAGATTTGATGGGTAACAAAAGAAAATTTCTGATGCAGGCAGAGGCAGATGGTAGCATGTGATTAAAAAGAGTGGACTAATGGGCACAGTGTTCAAATCACTGGCCGTTCCTAAGCCCGGAGGAAGGCGTCTTTCACCCAGAGCCCAACCCGGTTTCCCGAAAGCCACCCGCAGGTATCCGAGGCCCCTGCGAGGGAAGCGGAGAGCGGCAGTGGTCCAGGCAGCAGCTCTCATAGCCACCTCTGCCCACCCAGAGCTGGTGTGCCTGGGAACAGGCGGCAGCCTTTGCGGGGTGAATCTTCAGCAGAGCGTTACACACGCCTGCTACTGCCGGACAGCAACAGCCACCGCTGCGGCGCGCAGCGGCCGTGCCTGGGGGCTTCGCAGAGCGCACACTCCCCCCGCCGGCCCTCGCCGCTGCCAGCACGGAGTCGGCTCCGTGGCACGCGTCTGCCAAGCTGGCGGTGGCCCATTTGTCGTGTGCCTAGATAGCATAAGCCCCCGGAGGTGGTATTGCCAATTGGAATTAATTTCTAGTAAATTAACTCTCTAACGAGGTGAAAATAGGGAATGTACATTTTTACAATGGGAGACACTCCCCCCAAAACCGGAATTATCTTCTGGAGGGCGGGCCCCTTGTGCTGCAGGTGTCCCCAGCCAGGTGAGTGAGTGAGGAACCCGTCTGTACCAGTGCACCAGCTGCGGCGTCGTGAGAGGCCGTGTTCAGCCTCAGTGAATATTTTCTGAAGACTCTCTCAGTGTGTGCGCCCATTTCATGGCGGGTGAGTTACGTACGAGCCGTCTGCCCACACCACAGGCTGAGTGTTGAGCAGTTTTTGACCAAAAATGGCCTGACCCCCATGCCCCACCCTCCTTGTTTACCTGGTCTTGCCCTGGTGACACTTTTTGTTTCTCTGGATGAAAAAAGTCCTCAAAGGGAAACCTTTTGCTGATGTGGAAGAGGCGAAACAAAAAAGGGCATGAGACTAAAAGGCATCAGAATCAGCGAGTTGAAAAACTGTATGGGGCAGTGGAAAAAAGCCTCGGTAGGTGTATTGCATTAAGTAGAAAGTACTTTGAAGGTGACTGAAGTTTAAACATGTAAGAATAAATACAGTTTTTTATAAGTAAATTCTGGTTATTTTGGTCCCCCCATATGTGTTCTTCAACTTTGTATTTTCTACCAAATTCTGCCTTTATTTCTTTGGCCCTCTGGTCCCTGCTTAAAATCAGTACAGATCAGCTCACCTTTTTTTGCTCATGTTTGGTTTGGATCTTCTCCTATTAGGTAGGAAAGGATGTACAAGAGCACGTTCAGAGGACATGAAGGGCCTGGAAAGGAGGCAACAAGAGGTGACTCAAGAGAAGATCGCCTGTGGCGGGGCTTAATGTACTAGGAGAGGTATTAAAAGCAGTTCACAGCCCAGGTTTTTAATAGCATTATCTGGGGAGCTTTTAAAAAATGTGAGTGCCTGGGTCCCACTCTGAGAATATCTGTTCTAACTGATCTGTGGCAGGGACTGGCGTGAGTGTGTGTGCGCTTTCCCCTCTGTAGCCTCTATAGAGCATTCTGTATGGAGCCAGGAAGGGAAGCTGGTGGGTTAATACATTCTCTGTTTGGCTCTAGAAAGCAGAACTGGGTGCATTGGGGGAAAGGTGCAGGACAGAAAAGTACAATGAAAAATGGTCTGGTAATCAGAACTTTCTCTTCATAGAAATAATCAAGTATACATGAGTTAACCTATGTGAAGGTGTTAGTGACTATATGGCTTTGGAGCTCAAAAGAGAGATGTGACCAGGAGAACATCGGTGAAAAGGTGGTAGCGGAAGTTACCATCTGCATGCTGCTGGTCGTTGATTTGACCCATAGCTTCCAGACTTGCCATGCATTACTGGTGTTGAGCAAGACATGGTCTCTTGTGTTCATGGAGCTTGTTACACACCAGGAAACTTAAAACTGAAGCATCTTTACAAAATCACGTGGCTGCTCCTTAAATTGTCATCTCTGTCAGCTAGTTTGCTGCTGTCCAGAGCCCAGGGTTACAAGTGGATTGTACATGCCTCAGAAAAGTTCTTTATAATACTGGGTTGGCCAAAGAGTCTATTTAGTTTTTTTCTGTAAAAAAAAAAAAAAGACACATTTTTTATTTCCACCAGTAACTTCATTGATTTGGTATTTTGAGTATGTCAGCTATTTCCTGCTATTGGCGTCTAGTGGGTAGAGGCCAGGGGTGCTGCTAAACACCTTCCAATGCATAAGGCAGCCCCATAGCAGAGTTATTGGCTAAAATGTCAACAGTACCAAGAATCTTTGCAACCACTGTTGACACATTCGCTCAATCATAGCACCTTCTCCGTATACTGCACAAATCTTTTTTTGTATTTCAGTTGTGTTTTTGCTTTTCTTGAAATAATAAAACATAATACACCCAAAATGTTGCACTTTTTCTTCCGTCTTCAATATTAAAATGGCTACACAAAAATGTACCAATTTTGATAAGTTTTTTTAAATGCAGGTTGATATGACAGCCATCAGAAAACAATCTAACAAAATGCTTTCAAATGAAGGTAAAGACAACTAAGTGCTTCTAGAGCCATCATAGGGAAAAAACCTAATGAACTTTTGGCCAACCCAGTGCATCTAAAATGAATGACAACATATGCAGATGTTAAGGTTGATGAAAAAAAGAGAAATTCTTCTGGTGATTTCTCAGCCCAGGAAATAAAATCTTGGAAAAAGATTTTCAAGAACTTTTTAATTTATAATTTGCTTTTTTCCCTTTTTCTCTCCTTTCCCTTTATCTCGTAAATTTTCCTGCTTTTTTACCATCATCGTTATTAGTTCTTGAATAGAGATATTTCTTGAGAAACTATTATTCCTTAGTATCTGGTTTTTAAATTTGGTCATGTACTTTCAAGGACTTATTAAAAGTATGAAATAAATGTAACTTTAACAACCACAGATACCGAGAGGCAATTCAGAAGTGGGATGAAGCCCTGCAGCTAACACCGAACGACGCTACCCTGTATGAGATGAAGTCACAGGTAAGGGTTATGAAGAACTTCCCTGTCGGTATGAAGTTGCACTGTTTGGTGAGCAATGATGGACCAAAATAGCATTTCCTTCCATTTTCTTTTTTAAATACAAATTTTTTTGGAAAAAAAGGTTATGATACCATTTGTGGCTTTTCCTTACGTATCAAATTAGAAATTTGTTTACCTTCACAATGAAGTTGACTGTTATCCCACCTGACTGTGGTAAAGTGTGAACAGGGGGCATCTTTTAAGAAGTCACTGCTGATCTCCTAAAAAATGAAGTGTGTTTGCCCTCCTTGGAGATTAATTGCAGTAGACTTAGTGATAACTTAGCATCTTCCAATGGACTGGATTCCAAGTGATGCTGTTTCTCTGAAAGTGGCCTAGTTCTAGCAAAAAGACAGAATAGACTCCGTTTATTAATAGCTTAAAAATAACAGTTGTATTTAAAGATACATTTCTAATATTTTGTGGGAAAGTTCACAAAGAAAACCACCGAGCCCTTGAACTAAGTTATGCAAGAGGCTCCAGGACTCCGAGCGTGGGACGCATTTCAGGGAGCAGGACATCAGGGAGCAGTTGCAGTGCCGCCTGCCTCCATCCGCCTGGCAGACGGCTTTCCTCATGATGACCTCAAGCTGGGGCACACTTGTATCAGCTTTGATTTTAGTTTGTCCAGGAAAAACCCAAATAAATTATGTCTCCTGAATAAAAGTGGCATGAGGGCCTTCATTTGGATAAGTTATTTTCAACCTTTAATATGTACATATTAAAGGAAAGATTTGGGGCGAATTGTATGAAATGAGTTATTTAATTTGGAACCTAATGATGATGCTTGTGTCACAAATTTTATGAAGTGCAGATGGAAATTATAGATGAAATCCAGCCCTTTGCCATAGATCGAAGGTGAAAGGTTCTGGAATGCCCTGATTTTTCTGATTTGTGTGGTATGAAGAACCCAGTTTTTGGGGGGTGGAGAGGAGGCTGTGGAGTGTTTGAATGATTTTTAGAGCAGGAAGATGTTCCCTAGGGACAGGATGTGTGGTTGAACAAGCTTAAGTTTGCCTTGTTCAACGGCAAGGCCTGGAGCGCTCTAAAGTCCCCATGGTGAGCAGCACGAATAGAAGTGGAACTGAAAGTTCAGATAGTTCTGAGCCACCGTGGCTGGAGGAAGGCTGCATGGTTTTGACCAGGTGGACAGTAGGGTTCAGACATTAGAAAAGGAACAGTACCTATTTTTATAGTATTGATATTTCAGTAGTAGGAGGAAGAATATAATTCCTGACCCTGAATGGCAGAGGTGGGGGTCAAAACCACTGAGGTGCTACGTTTACCAGATTAAAAATATACTTGTAGAAGTGAAAAGGGTTATTTATGCATGGTAACCTATTAGGAGTTTGCTAGTTTGTGAGATTTACCGACAGTCCTGTTTCTGTTTTTGACCATAGGTCCTCATGTCACTTCATGAAATGTTCCCTGCAGTTCACGCAGCGGAAATGGCCGTGCAGAGAAACCCGCGTTCCTGGGAGTCCTGGCAGACTTTGGGGCGTGCGCAGCTGGGGTTAGGAGAGATAGTCTTGGTAAGGAAGTCAGGTGCTTCCTATGATGCTGGCATTTTATCTTGGCAGGTTTTGATCCCCTGTAACTGAAAGTTAAACATGTATCAAATCTATGCAAAAAATAAATAGCAAATTACCTCTTAAAGGTATTAAACCACAAACACAGATCAAAGTTATTACTGTTATTTCCATCCTGTGCACCACTTATTATCAGGGTCAGAATATTTTTCAGGTATTTGGAATCATGGAAATTAATTAGAAATTTAACATAAAACATTGACATTTGGTAAATATACAATAAGTAACTTTGGGGTTAATTCTTTTCATCATTAAACTTATCACATTATAAAGCGGTGTGAGCACTTTATAATGCATCACCATGGAGATGAAATCACTAAAAGATTATGTTGGGGAAAGGAAGAAAGGAGAATATGGGAGTGTAACGATGATAAATATTTGGACTGAAAAGTTGCCAGTCTTTAATGAGGAGAAAAATGGGGAAGGGTGGAAGCTTATAAAAATGAAATACTCATTGTGTAAAATTTACTATAAGCTGGTGCTTAATGGATTTGTCAGCTTGTCTGGACTACACCTTGTAGGTTGCAAAGACCACGTAGGTGGCACAGCTAGCTGTGAGGACTGTCCTGTTTCTGTTTCGGCGGGGCTTGTATATTCCTGACAGCCGATTTCCTACAAAGTACGTGTACACCTAATATAGCAAAACTTCCTTTTTGTCATTCAATAAATTCATATTTTTAATGCTTTTATAGGCCTTTGAGATTAAAAACAGAACAAAAACCAAGTTTCTTTAAAGGCTAAAATTATTGATAAACCCTGAGTGTAATTTTGCTAGCACTGGTGTCAGTAAGTTGTGGATAACTTAGGTTTTTCTGGTACACTTGTAAATATATTACTTCTGTATACCAAAACAAAGGTGTGTCAAATACTCAGAAATCATATAGAGGGAATTTTGAGGAGAATTGATTGGAGTAAAGTAAAGTAAAAATGATAATCTGAAATGAAATTCAGAGTAACAGAAACCAGCCGTAACAGAAACGAAAGGCCATTTTCTTTCTTGGCCATGTAGTCATCTTTTCTCTCCTGAAGACTTAAATATACTACAGTTGGAAAAAAGTTCAAGAAATTTGGTTTTCTAATAGGTTAACAGGAAAACAAATAAAAACTTATATAATACTTATGCTCTTGCTATGGTAATGGAAAAAAAAATCCCTAGGACAAAATATTTAGCAAAATATTGTCCTATAAAGAAAGAAAATACATTGCACGTGAGATAACAGGTACTTTGAAACAACAACAAAATTATTCAAAATTCTAAGTTTTTAAATTAAGAATACTAGTTCAGTTCTTTTTTTCCTATGGATATGGTTATGTCTGTTATACTCATATTGTAAAATTCTTGGAGGAATTAAAAGTAATTTTGTCCTCATTTAATGTTTTTAAGGGTTCTACATGAAAAAAGATCTAAATTTGTAATTTTTATATAAAAATCTGTTTTTTAAAAAAATTTTATTCCTTTTAGAGAGAGAGGAAGGAGGAGAGAGAGAAAAAAACATCAATTTTTTGTTCCCCTTATTTGTGCATTCATTGGTTAAAGTGCCCTGACAGGAATTGAACCCACAGCCGTGTATCAGGATGACGTTTTAACCAACTGAGCTAACTGGCCAGGGCTAAACTTCATGTTATTTTGAAAGACTGGAATGGTTAAAAATTACTTTACTCAATGGCATAATGAAGTGATAGAGTCAAACCTCAGTTCTTGAACATCTGCCATCTTGAACAATTTAGTTCTTGACCAAGTTATTCAGGGAAAAAATGTCTTTGGTTGTCAACCAAAACCTTGGTTCTGGACTATACAACCCTTTCATGCTGATACCTGTGTGATCCGTTGTGCATCCCTAAGATGTGATACGTTTTTTGAACAAATTGCTTCTTGAACCCTTTTCTGAAATAAATTAAGTTCGAGAACCGAGATTCTACTATACTATGAAAAATATACAGAAAGCAAGCTAAAATTTCGAACTTATTTCACACTACGGGGTGGGCAAAAGTAGGTTTGCAGTTCATATGAAAAATAATACAATAATAAATAATAGCATAAGAATACACTCTGTATTTTGTGTACTCACAACTATAAACCTACTCTTGCCCCACCCTATATATAAAAACATAACAAAATATGTAGGTAAATAGAACAGGCAATAAATTAAAAGTCAAGAGTTGGGTATAATTCTATTATGTAGACTTTTATGCAGAATTGGTTGTGTATATTGGAAAATGATTATAGGCTTAGTTTGGTCTTCATTTTCTAATTTTTTGAGGTGTAGAGGTAGGCTTTTTTACTTGAGATCTTTCTTTTTATCATAGGCAGTTATGGCTAGAAACCTCCTTCGTAGTTCTGCTTTTTCTGCACCCCATACTTTTAGTGTATTTTCATTATCATTTGTATTAAGATACTTTTTAATTTCTCTTTTGATTTCTTTTTGAACTTACTGATTGTTCAAGAGTACGTTGATTTCTACATATTTGTGAACTTTCCAGTTATCCTTTTGCTATTGATTTGTAGTTTTAACTCCATTAGACTGAGAAAAGATGGTTAGATGGTTCGTATGTGTTTTTAAATTTGGGTTTGTTTTTTTTTTGCAGTGTGAATTTTCTTTTTATTTATATATTTTTTAAAAAATTTTATTGTGTATGCTGTTACAGTTGTCCCAAAGACTTGTTTTGTGATGTAACGTACATCTATAATGGAAAGTGTTCCATGTGTACTTGAGAATAATGTATATTCTGCTGCTGTTGGGTGGAATGTCTTGTAGAAGTTTGTTATAGGTCCCTTTGCTCTACAGTGTTATTCAAACACTGTTTCCTTATTGATCCTCTCTCCTTCAGTTCTGTCAATGTTTACTTTACATACTTAGGTATTCTGATGTTGGGTGTATATATCTTTATAATTGTTATATAATTCTGGAGGATTGACCCTTGCGTTACTATGCAGTGTTTGCTTTTGTCCCTGAGAGTTGGCTTCAACGTTGTGCATTCCTGGTACCTTCCTGATGACCATGCTTTAGCCCAGGAGATTCCCTAGATTCATGTATTTGCTGATCTGCAGAAGCTGAGCAATGCATTTGCCTTGTTTTGAACCGTAATCTCTTGATTTTAATGGACTTTTAGTCCTCATCAGCAATTTGTCGGTCACTTTCACACTTTTGTAACCTTTGTTTTTTTCATCATAATCATCTTTAATGGTTAGGGCACAGCCCTAACTTCCATCCTTATAGCCTATTATGTTAAAAAAATATATATGCATATATTATCTGTACATACATATACATATATCTAAAGATATATATATGTGTGGATATTGTGGATTATGTTAAATACATTCATCTTTTAAAACAAAGCAAAAAAAAAAAAAAACCACTTGACCTTTTCTTTCCCTAGGCAATTCGAAGTTTTCAAGTAGCCCTTCATATCTATCCAATGAACCCTGAAATATGGAAAGAAGACCTTTCTTGGGCAAGAACACTCCACGAGCAGCAGAAGGTAGCCCAGAAGATTAAAAAAAGTGCAGCACCAGCGGAAGCCACACATGTCTCCCCAAAGTCGATTCCTGACTATGACTTTGAAAGTGATGAGATTGTTGCTGTTTGTGCAGCTATTGCTGAAAAACAAAAGGCAGTTTCAGCAAATAAAACAATGGTTATTGTGTCAGCTTCTGGGACTGTAGAGACTGTAACTGAGAAGGAAGATGGTGCTACACCACCCGATGGCTCTGTGTTTATCAAAGCCCGATGAGGTTTTGCAGGAGGTATTAGAGTCTACCTTTTTGATTGCCACTTCAAGATTTAGGCATACAGGCATTTACTCTGGAGAAACTGGGCAAAGCTCCTGTTTGTAAAATAAGTTTTTCACATGAGGCATACAAAAACTAAAGGGTAGAGTTATTACATAGTGTTTGGACTATGCTTTGATAAGTTATGATTTAAACTTACTAAGACTAGAATTCTGACTACAATGGCTTTTGATGAATAAACTTAATCCAAATATAGAAGTGAATACATTTTAAAGACACCACTTGGAAGTGAATGCTCGAATAGTGAGTAACTTGATGGCCAGTGTTACTAAAATGTTGTCGTTTTTATGATAAAGGAAGTCGGTGATTTGTTTCCTTCCTAAAAATATACTGCTGTTACTACTCAATCTCCTATTTTTCTGGCTTTGTTAGAGTAATTTTGTCACAAAGCTTGAATATTTTTGATGTTCATTTGGATTCAAGGTTGTCATTTGGTTATATGCAGATTCTTGGGAAGTTTGGCTGGAAATGCATGCAAATGTGTACGTTCTGGACATTTTCTGCAGTTTCTCTTAATTCTGATGTATGCTTGTTTTGACTTTGACTTTAAAATAATTATAACCACGGGGGTTGCCACCTTCAGTATTTGTCGGATGTAGGAAGTACTAAGAAATGTAAGAATGATGGTTTCATTTTTTTAACAATGGTAGATAGTCTTTACCACAAGCGAGTCATTTCTTAAAATATATATTTTATTGATTCTGCTATTACAGTTGTCCCAACTTTTTCCCCTTTGCCCCTCCTAGCACCCCCATTCCCTCCAGCTGTCTACCTCTTAGTTCATGCCCATGGGTCGTGCATATGAGTTCTTTGCCTACTTCATTACCTATACTGTTCTTAACATCCCCCTTTCTATTTTCTACCTACCAATTTGTGCTTCTTAGTCCCTGCATATTTACCTCCGTTTTCCTCCTTCCCTGTCCCTACTGATAACCCTCCAAATGATCTCCATAACTATGATTCTGGTCCTGTTCTGCTTGTTTGCTAAGTTTGTTATTTGGATTCAGTTATTGATAGTTGTGAGTTTATTGCCATTTTAATATTCATTGTTTTGATCTTCTTCTTTTTCTTATATAATGTTCCCTTCAGCATTTCATGTAATAATGGCTTGGTAGTGATGAGCTTCTTTAGCTTTACCTTGCTTGGGAAGCACTTTGTCTGCCCTTCCATTCTAAATGATAGCTTTGCTGGTTAGAGTAATGTAGGTTTCAGGTCCTTGCGTTCGTCACTTTGAATACTTCTTGCCAGTTCCTTCCAGCCTGCAAAGTTTCTTGAGAAATCAGCTGATAGCCCTTTGGGAACTCCCCTGTAGGTAACTCTCTGCTTTTCTCTTGATGGTTTTAAGATTCTCTCCTTATCTTTAACCTTTGGCATATTAATTATGATGTGTCTTGGTGTGGTCCTCTTTGGGTCCATCTTGTTTGGGACTCTGTCTGCTTCCTGGACTTGTATGTCTATTTCCTTCACCAAATTAGGCAAGTTTTCTTTCATTATTTTTTCAAATAAGCTTTCAGTTTCTTTCTCTTCCTCCTTTTCTTCTGGCACCCCAATGATTCAGACTCCACACAACCAGATTTTCTGACAGTTCTGGGTGATAATTGCTTTGTAGTGTGGCTGTATTTTTTCCTCTAGTTGTGTGTAGAGGCAAGGTTTATTTACCTATGCCTCCATCTTGATCAGAAGTCATAAGTCATTTTTAAGATGTCCATTTTTTAAATGAATGGTTCTAGTAACTACATCATAAATTGTACTGCAATGTTGTCCTAGTCACAAGCAGTATTTTCTTTATTTTTAAAAGCTTAAAGCCCTGACTGGTATGGCTTAGTGGACTGGGCATCATTCTGCAAACCAAAACATTGCTTGTTCAATTCCTGGTCAGGGCACATGCCTGGGTTGCAGGCTTGGTCCCCAATTGAGGGTGTGCAAGAAGCAATGGATTGATGTTTCTCTTACACATCAATGTTTCTCTCCTTGTCTTTCTTCCTCCCTTTCCCTTTCTCTAAAAGTAAATCTTTTTTAAAAAAGGTTAAAAACCTTGAAAATATCTTGTGCTTATAACTCTCCAGCTGATGGTTTGGAATTCCTTTTCTAGATAACTTGTTTGGAACTAGTCAGTAAAATGAGAAATAATCATAATTTTAAATACTAAATTATATCTTTCTAAAAAAAAAAAGTAGGGGCGTGACTCTTCCAGTTCCAGTGAGTGACTAACTTAGGAACAGCATACATGGAAACTGAACTGTGATTTGTGGTACGAGACCATGAATAGAGAAGGCTATATTGAAGAAATAGTTCATTGAAACACCACAGTTATGGCCACAATTCAGTATTGCCATTGCTAATGTGAATTATTATTTTTATAGTACATACATTGTGTATACATTGTGTACAGTGATATAGAACTGCTGGGTACTGTTACTTCTGACACTCAGGAAGCTATTATTGATATACAATTAATTTTATCTTTGTTAGAGATGAACTTACTTTATTTTAAGAAATCTTACCCTGTTAGAGCATGTAAGTAAATGGTTTATATTTTTCTGAGAGGATTTTTGAAATTTTTCTTTTAGAGGAATGTTTACCTTTTTTCAGAGTCAGAGCACTTGCCTTGAAAAATATTACATTTTCCCCCAAAGTTACATTAGAAAATTAGCTCTGGTTGGAGAGGTTAGTTTTAGACTGATCCAAAAAACCCCAAATATTCTATTTTATGTCATTTAATAAGAAATATTCTCAAAGGATAGATAGTTGGGTATTTAGAGAAGCTGGTATGTTGTTTTGAGTAATGGGTGTTCACTTATTATGTAATTTGTGAAGTTTTTTTATGTATTTTAAAGTTTTGCCTATTTTGTGTTATTCGCTTTTGAAAAGTTAGATTGATTTATTTCTTATGTGAAATAAAATATGTAAAGCACTTTGTATGGTATCTCACATATGAATTACTCAGTAAATGCTAGCTCTTTCTACAAAGAGCTTGAATTAGTTTGGAGATATTTAACCTCAGCTTCTTCCGACTTTAAGAAAGGAAGAGAATTTTGTAATTTTATTCTTATCTGAGAGTGAGAAGTCACTGCTTTTGATGTTATGGGACAGAGGATTATCAGTTGGGGACTGTTGGTGGTGTAAGGTCTGTGTCCAGCCGCAGAAGAGGCAAGGCCCCGGGCTGGGGCATGGGGCGGAGTGGGGGGGCCGGCGCGCCGCCACTGGGTGCTGCTTAGAACCCTGCGTTTCCTCTAAAGTGACAGCAGGAGGCAGGCCGTCTCTTCCTTTCTCAGACTGAGACCTGAGATGCTTTTCACAGCAGGCGGGGCAGAGAAGAAGTGCTGAACTGTGGAGAAGACAGACAGCTCATTTCTACAGGCCCTGAAAGACGCTTAGCTGACGCTCTTCCATGCATGAAGAGAAAAATGCATGTGCTGTTTTATAAGGATCTGCGTACTGATGTACTGACGTTTACTAAGCTGACTGACTGTACTAGCACATTTTTTTTGAACTTGAAAGAAAAATAATTGATGTTCATTATGGTAATATAATTAAAGATGTTTAATATATTTTCTGAAATAACGCTAAACACTGAAAGTATATGGAATAAAATTTGTGTTTTTTGTTGGTTGAAAATTGTATGGCCTAGATGCTCATTAGTCAGAACACTACACATCCACACACCGTGCCTGATAATTTGACAGTCATATACGATCCTGTAGACAACAGGTTCTTAGATTATAGACTATTAATCTTAAATCTACTAACAAATGCTACATAAACATTGAAAGGTCATGCAAGATATAGATCACAGAGCCTGAATCTACTGCCACTGGAATCTTTGCCCAACATTTTAAGGCGGTAGTCTCAGTATGAAACGCTTTTAAATTGATGTTATATGGCAAAACTAATGAAGACAAAAAAGGTTTGTCTCAGAGAGCTGGAGTTTCCTTGATTATAGCTGATCGGTGTAGCCTTTTTAGTGTGAAAATTATGCTTTATGTCATGATGCCAAAAGCTTGTTTCATTGCCTTTCCCAGCAGTCAGAAAATGGCCAATCACTTCTTCACTTTCAGGCTTCTTGAGTTAGAAGCCCTTCTAAACTGCCTCTGGACTTTGATTTCATGACATAATGTATCTAAATGAATTGTGAGTTGACACAAGAACCGTAGTTTCATAATTATCTTCAAATCAATGGCTATATTAAATGTGTGGGTTTTTTTCCCCGAACGATTATTACACTGATGGGGTATTTTGTAATTGGTGGCATTTTGGGACTGAGAAACTAATTTTTTTAAACCAGTACTATAGAAATTTGTGAATGGTTTACTCATTACCAAAGTAAATTGAAATATGTCACTTTAGTCACTTGCAGTTAAATATGCTCACTTGAATGGAAGAGAAGGGGTGGCCCTATAGCCAGCGTACCACGAATTGTGCCTTAGTTGCCTCGTGCGTGACCTTCACCTGTTTCTTGTGCCAAGGTGGAAAAAAAGGCTGAGAACCGTTGACCTTCGCTTCATTGGGAAGGCAGAGGTCAAGATGGCTTCCTTTCACAGGGCTTCTCCGGACATCCACTAACCAAGGAATCCTGATCTCTCCCTTTCCATTTCTCTCCCACATCCACAGGAGAGGGGGTTTAGGCTAAGTCACAGGACATAGAGATCTTTCTCCCCTTCTTTTGGACTGGCCGTGCCTGCAGAGAGTCTAACCTGATAGACGTGTGAGCTTTGCCCGAAGGCTCTCTGCCTGCCTCCCTGTGGCTGTGCAGAGCTGCCCAAACCCTGGGGAGCAGGTCTGTCTAATTCTGGGCTGATACTAGGTGTAGGTCTGCCTAATTCTGGGCTGATAGTAGGTGGCCATCGTTGGCACAGACCCAGATTACACCCTCTCACCTACACTTCTTCAGCAGCAAATCTCAGTAAGTCTGACATGCCGATTCTCCATCTGCCTGACTCCTTTTGGCTTTCAAGTGGCTCAGAAATCAGGAGGGGATGGGGGTGTTACACGATGCACTGTAACCCCAGCAAAGGTGAGTGCAGATTATATTTCCAAGTAAGCATGGGACAGAAACCCAATGAGGACATTTTTTCTAATCTTAAGTTTGTTTTAAACTGTGGAAATTCTATTGAAAATGGGTAATGCTAATTACTGGGTAACATGTAAACATTTGTTCAGGGTACTTAAAAAGCCTCCCGACTTGGAATGG